TTGTGGCAGAAAAATGGGACGAAAGGAGAGGGGCTGGGAAGGGGGAGGCTCGGTGCCATCTGCCCCCGGCTCTCCCGGGGTAAAAGTTGGAGCTGGTTTCTTCCTTGAGCTGCTACTCTGTGTCCATTCTTCGCTTCTGGCTTTTCCCCCAAAGAACAAGATGGAGAAGTCGGTCGTGTTTCTGTGCCATCTTGTCCATTTTCTTCTAATAATCGTGGGGAAAAAAATAAAAAAGTGAATCAAGGGCAGTTCAAAGATATGCATTATTGCAAACTTTTAAAGTAATCTGGAAAAACCTGCTACAGCCTTGTCTTTAGAGTGGCTTATAGGGCAAATATAACAAGAGCATGTTTCTGATGCTTAAAAGAAAAACAATCATTCTAAAACCAGTGCCCGTTTGGAGTGCCATGTTAGCAAAAGCAATAGCCAGGCTATGGATGGCATAAATTTCTTTACAGCTCCCTAACAGAGTTCAGCACAGTGTTTTGGATCACCTTGTCTACTTATATTGTGGTAAGCACTGCAAGTTTTGGGATATCTGTGTGGGATAAATCCCAGAGAAAAGGCTATTGCTGTCTCTTAAAAGCAGAGATGGCAAAGCTGCCGTAGCTCAGCTTCTGTGCATAAACTGTACCAAGCTCAGGAGCACACAGGAAAATGATCTGGTGGGGAATACTTTCAGCAGAAATTAATGTTGAGGGAGAGGATTTTGTCAGAGCAGCCCTACAGCAGCTATTTGAGAGATACTGGGTATGAGTCTGTATGCTGGAGCAGCTGCAGGCGTCCTTACAGAAGTACAAAACCACTTTCTCTCTACACACATAGCAAGATGTTTTCTGAGAAGGAAAAAATGTAACTAATATCCCAATTTAGAGCTGAAGTGGAAGTAGTCACATTATCTCCTCAGTTTCACATCTCTTTTCAATATCAGTTTAGAAGATTATGGCTGATTTTGTCTGAACTTGAAATAAAAGGTTTTAAATAATTTTTTTTAAATCTTATGAGGAATATTGAAAAGCTTTGAGAAAATTTCAAGTTGAAACCTTATGTTTATGTTCTCTATTGAATGCTGGTGTGTGGCAGTCCTAAGCCGGGAAACAGCACAGAAATTGAGTGAAAACCACGATGGTGATGAAACAAATACAGCCTCTGTACATGGTATTTCAAGACGCTCCTTTTGGAGTGGTTTTCGTGGTAACTTTTTGCAGCAGTTGTGATGGCAGTGCAGGAGCTCTGGCTGGGGTGTGTGAGTGCCCACAGCACCCCCAGCCATGCCCTGCAGACATCTGCACCCCCAGAGCTGGGTGAGGAACACTGGCTGGGCTCATTTACCCTCTGCTCCTCTGCCACCCAAACCACAAGTTTGGTAATTCTGTGGAAGCAAGATGGATTTGTCCTTTCTCACTTTTCAGAACTCATCTGTGTAATAAACAGCAAATTTTCTCCAGTTTTGGTCCCACTGTTATGGATTTGTAAGATGTTTATGGGACACTTGCATTTAAGTGGTTACATTGAAACTGAAGTGTGGCAAAATGATGGTATTTGTGAGGCAGTAGAGAATGGCTTCATATCTTAATGATTTTTGAGTGATTTGGAAGCCTAGATTTTCTATTATTAACTTATTTGGCAGATGTAGGAGAGTAACCCCAAATGTGACCTGCAGCAAACAGTCACATACCTTTATCTCCAGACTGTAAAACATGGCTTGAAAGACTAAGAATCATTGATAAAATATCCAGCCTGAGTCTTGGGGTGCTCGAGCAGTTATTTAATATTTTTTGTTTGAAATTAGCAACTATCTAGCTATTTAATTTAGCTATTAGCAACTGTCTAGCTTTTTTGTTTGTTTGTTTTTTTGAAATTCACAACTATCTAGCCAGTTGTGAGGCTCCTTGCTCTTAGGACCAGTGATGTCCCGGTGGTGCAGTCAGACCTGTGCTCTGGGATACGAGCAGAAGGGTTGTGGGTAGAGAGCTTTCCTTCCAGAGACAGCAGGTCAGTCAGAAAGGATGGTGCTTTATTTTGTTTTATAGACCTCTCTTGCCTTTTGGGTAGGGCAGGCACGTTGGACTAGATGACCTCCAGTGGTCTTTTCCAACCTTACCCTTCTGTGATTTTGTGCTCTCCATCTGTTGGGTTTTTAAGCCCCAGGTTTGGCCCTTGTCTGTGATTTCAAGCTCATCAGTGGGTGAAATGACCCAGCCCTGTGCCCGTGGC